ATGCAAAAAATACAGAACACGTGTTTTTAGAGAAAACTGTCAGCGCAATTTACCTTTGAAATGTTGCATCTGAACCTTGTCATTCGAAGTTAATTCAGTCAGTGTACTGTTTCTCACTGGTCTATGTTTGGTCATTCAGAATTGGTACTGGTGTGGCATTTGGTGTTCTCAACATTATAAGTAGCTCTGTAGATACCTTATGCTTTAGTTATGGTACCTATTGCTTTAAATGTAGAAGTACAGAATCAATGACTAATAGGAAAAAAGGATTAATTTTCCATTTATTTCTTCCACAAAGTTTGGTAATGATCCGAAGCCATATGGAAGGAGATTTTAGGATGCCTATTCCTGTTGTGACCCGTTATATTTTTCATGCCCTATGTAGTGTACAATGCATTGCTCTTCAGTTCTTTCTCCCATTGCCATTGGGCAGAATTATGTTGCTCTTTAGAGTCTATAGTGCCATGGCCATTTTTAACGCTTGGCATGAGATTTGGTTCTTGTTTCTAACTCCGTGCAATGCCTTTCCTGTCATTGGTGATCATGATTACTGCCTACCTCTTGACCAGTGTTGCATTGTCAAAGATTCTGAAGAAAGTAAAAGAAAGAACCCTTAGTTCAAATTAATGCATAAAGTCAAAAGTCCAAATTGGCTGAAGCATCAGTGTCTGACTTGCCTTTGGCTGGCAAGTGCTCAAAGTCATCCCACTCCTCTTCCCCTTCCAGCCACCGTTCCTATGAAGGCACAGTCATCCAAGCATCAGGGAGAATGAGCTGCATCAGAATCGCTGCATCAGTCCTCATCCTCTTCAAGTTTTGCTTCAAAGACTTCGGGTAAGCGTCAATAGAAAACTTAATCTAGAGCAACAAAGGAATCGTCGTTCAGTAGTTTTCCATTCCAGCCAAGTGCCAAGGTGGAGACTGGGAAGACAGTTATTTCCCTGAGTTAAGATTGTTCCTGATTTCATAGCAAAACTGCACAATGTAATATTTGGCGTAATTCTATGTACGTCATGTATGTATTGGTATTACCAATAACAAATTTTTTTGGATGGATTACATTACTTCATACATCTACACTGTCCAGCTTCTTGGAAAGATAAGGGAAACTGATGGTAGACTCTTGGGACTGGTTCAGGTCGCAAGCATTACTCGGTCAGTAGTAACCACTCAGGCTTGTTTCATCTTTTGGTGAAAAGATATGTAATACTTTGACCTATCACTCTGCACTTTAGGGGTAATGGAGAAATGTGCTTTTCAGGCCATGGTAATAGTCTGTGATAAAGAATATCCCTATCCCAATCTTCAAGAGGAGTGAAGGAAAATATTACAATAAATCGATTTCAACAGCATCTGGTAATGCTGGTATTTCTCTTACAGTTAGTAGTTTGAGGGGGTTGGGATCGTAGGCAGGAAGAAATGTGAATAGCAGTCCAGTTTTTATGCCTACTGCTGTTAATGCACCAATTTTGCCTCAGTTTTGTCTTCCCTTTTGTCAGCCCATTTATTTTTCTGCTGCCCACCTCTTGGTCAGCTCAGTTGGCTGGATGGTTACTATGCAATGCAGGGTGATGCCAATAGCATGGGTTCAGTTCCTGCACTGGCTGAGGTTACTATGAACAACTCTTCTTAATCTCTCCCCTTGATTGAGGTGTGATGACCCTCAGGTTAAACCACCATCCTCTGTCTCCCTCTCTCTTTATAATGAGAGAGCAGTCCCATGCTCTGATAGGACTATGGCAACTTAATGTAATTACTTTTCAATATAAATAGTTCTGTTGAATTTCAGCAAGAAAGAACAATAGCAGCAAGGGTGAATCTATTTGGCAGGCAGAAAAGTGCAGTGTCAGCTCTATGCAGAACTGCCCCATTTATGCAGAACTGCCCCATTTATGCAGTGGTCATTGTCGAGTAGAATAAATGTGGCAGTGTGCTTAAACTAGCAGAAATATCTTGGAATGTTGATTTAGATTATTTGGATCACTTAGTGTAGCATACCCACCCAATGGAAAGCAGTTCAGAAAGTGTATTCCTTACTACATTGTGGTGTGAATAATGCACTAGTAAGCAAGCAACACCAAAAGGACATGAACTTTGTAGGATCCAGGGGCAACAGTTTGAAAACAAGTAGGCTAGATCACCACACTGTTCCCAGTGAATACATTTTTCAGATTGTCCATTTAGTATGATAAATATTTGATCACCCAAATTAGCCTCCATGTTTTATTAAAAACCAGAATGTGTAGATCACAGACTATGTAACTCAGTTTCCAAAGATTAAAATCTTGAATCGTAAAATTTGAGCTGCATCTTGGCACATAGCTGGATTGGCATTTCAAACAGTTTGAGCGATGGTGTTGCCAGAAACACTAAGGATAAACTTTTTTGATTACAAACATCATATAAACCACTAGATTACAGTTGTAAAGTATCTGCTGGTGATTCAGTTCTGTCATTAAGACTGTTTATCAACTAGACATTTATGACGGAATGTGAACCAGGGCCTCAGAATTCTGAGTCAGGCAGGTCAGTGCAGTTGAGGTCCAGATCAACTATGATTAAATTGAATGGCTGCAGGTTTAAGGGACTGAATGACCTATTCTTGATCCTATATTCCTTATTATCCTGTTTGTCCTTGTATAACTCCAGAGCAGCCGCTGAGGCTATCGAAGAATAATCCGAGTCTTCAGACATTCAAGTTTATTTTTAAAGTTACTGACCTCCACTGCTGCATAGAAGAAATTTTGTTTTGTCCAGTGACACCGAATAATGACTATTTTTCTGCTTAGTCACTCACTTCTGGTCTAACCATTGCTGACATTGCTGGTTGCAGCAACCTGGCTTCCTCATCTGAGCTTCAGTCCCTTTCTGGCATCCTCCAGTTACTTTTGATTCTTTATCACCCTGTTTCCAGCCTGAATCTTTCTTTAACTTCTGACTTCACCTGTGTCCCCTATAACCTGTAGCCCTCCATTCCCCATCGCTGCTTCTAACCTCTATCATTGAATCAACCTGTAATGATACTTCAATTTCTGTTGAAGATCACGCTGCCTTTAACACTTAGTTTGTTAATAATCTCTGGGCTGTATTTCTCTCCTTTTTTGAAATTATTTGCTCAACTACATCACAATAGACACCTCTATCTTTAAATACTCCACAAAATTTTGAGAAGTTGAGAGCCAGGATCATTGTAAAATATACATTTTGCACATCTTGGTGTTTAATTTTTTTCATTATTGTAGACTCTTTTTCTTTTCCTATTCTAGAAAGGGAAGATGTTCTAAAGGCAAAATCTTCCATTTCACATTAATCATTCAAGTTGAGAGTTTCATTGGGAGAAGTCGAGGTTAACAGTTGGCAGTACAGGTAATGAAAGACTACTGTTTTGAAAAACCTATCTGCCAGTCTACCTGTAATTAAATATGTTTACCTCACAGAAGGACCACACTGTATTTGCTGCATTTCTTCCTTTACTGAGACAATTGTGGACAATAGGTCTTTGACTTTGACTTATTTTAATTGAAGTACAACTATTTACCCATGATACCTCATGGAGTTGGTTGAGCAAAACTAATCTGGGGGAGGTTGGGAAAGATGAAGTTGTTTTTAGAAAACTATTGATTGTGTCTTGGAGTGAAATCAAAAATCCCTTGTGACCCTACAGTATTCTGTGATAGTGAAGTGTTTGCTTTAGTTAAAAAATGAAATGAGGTCTTTAACTTCCATTATGTTCAGGAGCACATATTCACTAATTAATCTTTATACTTCCGAAATTGCAACGTTGGCAATTCTGGAATGGCATTCCATAAAATGTAGGCACACTAGCCTTTGCTCCAAAAAGGGCTTATTTTGTGAATGGTGGGAAAACTAGCTCCTCTTGTTTTGTTGCAAAAATCCCTCCATCTTAAAAGGTAGAACTTGGCTAGCAGTACAGTTAGATAGTTGGTGGGATAATCGGTGAGACAGCAAATCTTAGTGTTGCTCATTTCCCATTACTAAGGTCTGCCAAATAATATTTATGCAAAGAAACCTTCCACTACAAAAGAATGAGGAGCTAAATGCAATTAAATATTACACTTTTTCGCAAAACTGTCTGAAATCTTTTTCAATGACCAGTGTACTTTCAGAAGCCTGCTGCAGTACATTTCTGATGCACTTAATATATGGGCAAGACATTTCCAAATCTTTATGAATTCCGCCGTGGGACCTGATTCTTGTAACTCTTCCATTTCATGGAATTGAGAGCTCATTAGCAACACAGATTTCCCTTATCCCTCTCTAACTGTTAAGAGATATGTGGTGATGAATTTGGCACATTCCTGAAATCGTAACCCACAGTTACCTGCAGTGAAGTCTGTGACAAGAACCTTGCAATTTTCGGCTAATGCGTCTAGTATTCAAAATACATTTGCAACCATTTGAGTTTAACAAATTGGTTTAGTTGAGAAGAACTGATGAGTGACTTGGTGTGAGTATGCCGCAATGGCTGAGGTGCACTGAAACAAACTTGATAATTCGAGAATTTCTCAAAAGGATTGGCATCCTGAGAACCACTTCTGTAAGCTTTGCTGGCTTTGGATCATTACCTGAGATATATTGTTAGCTGATAATGTTCGTTGTCTTTTGAGTCTGGAGACCATGGTTCACAATCTCTCCAGTCAATGCAGCTTAACTCTTCAACTAGCACTCCACCAATCTACAATATACAACTTCTTGTTTCAAGCAAAAAAAAATGCATGTTTTCTGAAGCCTTCATAATACTGTGAATTAGTGTATGTAAATAATTTAACTTCAAACAAATTTGTACTAAAGCCCACATTCCTCAAACATAAATCATGGGGAAGATATTGACCAAAAAGAACATTTTTATTGTTGAATTGTATAGTTTAAAATTTTAATCATGTTGGAATTAGTACATTGTGTTGTGCAGAATGCCTCATTTTAATGGAAAGTAGTTTTTTAAATTGTTTTCTCAAAATAATTTTTCTCTTTCTCTGCAGGAGCGCCTGAACCGAAACAAATGATAAGAAAACATTTGACTTGATGAGTTTAAAAAAAAAACTGAAAACCTGGTGCTGTGACCCAGCATCAGAATGAAAATAAAAATCAAAGCTTTCTGCTCCAGTGGTATCTTTATGTGCAGGGGAATTAAGCTACATCACGTTTTTAGTACATTTCTGTTTTTGTTTTTGCCCAGACTGGTCTGCATTTTGTTTGTAATTTTGCACCTAAAATGCTGTAGCAGTCACTGGTAACTTCTGTTACACTGAAGCTTTAGCCTGCATTTGTTTAGCAATCCTACGAAGATGAGCCTTTCAAGCTCTTTTTTTTAAAATGGGAAATATTACTGCGTCAGCCTTATGTAGTTTGGATGATGTGATGCTTTCAACGTTACTAGTTTTGGTGATGTGTGTTAACTTTGAGCTTTCTGGTGTTCTTTTCAAGTCGCTGTTAATTTGCATTCTCTCATGAAAATCCCAAGGTCATTCTTTTCTCTTCCTTCCGTAAAGCTGAGCTTTAATGTAGGAGCAAATAGTGGAAACGATGGTTGATGTCTCAAAAAATATAAATTGATGCAAACGTCTCTTGATTTTTGAGATGAAATATTTTTGATTGTTTTTTTCTGTCCGAAAGCTGTACTTTGCTGTACTGTATGTCTGTGGAATGAGGGAACCATTGAAATTGCTGCCGACTGGATAAAGCATGAAACGGTGCTCATGCCTGTTGCTTTAGTTCACAGAAACTTGCACGTGTTTATTGTAGAGGAACTTTACTATCGTTAGAAAGAAAACAAACAATTAACTCTTCTGAACCTAGTTACAAAAATGGACCTCAATTTAAAAACAAAACTATCATTTAGACTTATATTTAGACAATTTTAGTTATGTCTATGGAATATTGCCTGTAAGGTAAATGAACATCATTGGGTTGATTTTTCTTTCCTCTAGAAGAATACAAGCCTTAATAAACAATATCTATTTAGCAAGCACAGGTGATCTGTTCTTAATGCCTCTAATCATTTGTGTTCTAATTTCTTTCTGTTCATGTGACTGGAAAACTACATTCTTTTCTCTGAACAAAAGTGCATAAATTCAATTGAAATGAGAATCTTCAGGTTTCAGAAGTTATCATTTTAAAAATGTCAAATAATTGTGTTGTGCATTTGAAAATTAAGTTGGAATATTTGTCAATGAAAATGCTTATGGGGAACAATGCACACCATGAGTACAAACTGTTAGAACAGACTAACTGAAATGTTCATTGATACTCTAAAAGTGGAACACCTTGAGTAAGCCTAAGTGTATGATTTAGAAAATGTTTGTGTATTACGATGCTATTCTTTATCCATCAGTTCAAAAGTGTCACTTAAACCAATTAATGTATTATTCCTTTAGTTGCTGCAACCTGCTGATAAAATCTTAATAAAACTGGATATTGCATTATATCTATTAAGAGCCATAAAAATGATGGGTGGTTATTATTTAAGTGCAAATGCTGAAAACTTAAAATCATTTGAATATTATAATGGCCAACATTCTTAGCTGTGCAAATTGTGCTTTATAGCACTATTGGAAACTTTTCCGTCACTTTGATTGGAAGTAGACTGATAGATGATAATTGGCTGGGTTGGATTTGACCTGACATTTGTGGACATGACATCTGAGCATCTATCTGGCAATGGAGAATATTGCTATCTTGTTGCTCCGCTAGAGCAGCTTGCCTACTGTTAGAAGTATTTCTGGAACATAAGACTTGAGTACTAGTGCCAGAATGTTGCAGGGGTCAAAACCTTTGCAGTATCCAATGTCTTCAGATGTTTCTTTATCATGTGAATTGAAAGAGTTGCAGACTGACATCTGTCATAGTCATAGGCCAATCGAGTCTACACCAATCAAAAACAAACACCTAATTATTCTAATCCCAGTTTTCCAATACTTGTCAAGTCCTAAAAGGGCTGTTGCAATTGCTGTCATTCTAGGAACCTGTGGAGGAGGCTGGATGTGATGGAATTACAGAAACACGGTGGGTAGGTGTGTGTGGGGGAGGGGAAGTTTTTAAAAAAAATAAAAAATTAGGTAGAGATGGAACCCAGACAGAGAACAGCAGTTGGACAAACTGAGGAATGAAGAAGAAAATACCTGCTAATGGGGACCATTAGTGTGTGAAAATGGGTTAGCTAAATGAAAGCAGTTCATATTATAAGGTGTGGGGCTGGGTGAAGGACATGGAAGAAGGTGCTCAGGCCCTAAAGTTATTGAACTCAATATTGAGTCCAGGAGGCTGCAGGGTGCCCAAGTGGAAAATGAGATGCTGTTTTTCCAGCTCATGCCGATCCTCGCTGGAACCCTGCAGCATGCTCCATAGAAATGTTGGCCGGGGACCATAAGTGGTGTCTTGAAGTGGCAGGCAACTGGAGGCTCGCCATTTTAGCGGACAGCTGCATAGCCACTCTACATGATAGTTGGATCAGACTTGGCTGCAATTCCACTGCTCCTCTTCTTATCCCCCATCCACCCCAAACCCGTCCCAAGCTCATCAAGGGAAATACCATCAATATTCGTGAAGGCTGGTCACTTAGAATGGAGATGAAACGTTTTAACACCTTGTAAGAGTGATTGAGCAAACATGTTTTTACTAAATTATATTCTATTAAATAGAAAAGATTCCCTGCTATTCAAAGAATAGCAGGGTAAATCTCTGTGTAGGTTATCATTGCACAGCCTTCTCACTCAGTGCATATGTATGAAATTGAATATCTGCGTGCAATTTGAATTTCTTGCCTACTAATTTTATTGAGTCATTGAATGCATACACACCATCCTGATTGGCACTGTTGGCAAGTCGGCTCCAGTCCTGTGGTATGCAGGTAGTTCTACTGCTGGAATAGCATACAGAATCAGATTGAATATTAGTTTTAAACTAGTAAGATTGATTCCTTGTCACAAATTGAATGTGATATATCAAAGTTTATCTCCTTGATTTTCACTTCTATGGAACAATTGTTAATGAAAACAAGAACCAATGTGAAGTTTGTTTTTTTTGTCTTTCATGCTTAGGTACATCCAAAGCCCTGCCATTGCTGTTTTAATACGTTGATTTCAAGTTAGGTGACTAGAAAAGCCACGTTGGTGATATATTTAGTTTTTCATTGTGCTGAGGATGCGGATTTGGATTTCATGGTTGGGGTCTTTTCAACCTCCACCAAAATACAGTGAATAATTTGTCAAAATTATGTATTTTATTTTTCTGTAAATGGAAATTTGTAAACTCGTCCATTAGCTGTGTATATTCCTTCCCAGGCTGGCAATGGTTAGATGGTGATGTAAAGAGGTGTGCAGCTTGAAGTGAGAGATCAAGGCATTGGCTTGGTAAAAGAGATAAAATGGGGTTTTAAAAAAAACTTCATACCAGGAGATGGATGTGATGGCAGCGGGAAAAGGCCAATAAAACACCGAGTATGAAATTTAAAATTGAAAAGTATAGTTTGACTACTAACATCCTTCCTAGATGAATAAACGTGCAACAGACCTTTTGGGGGCAACAGTAGGATGCTAGTAATGTAAAATGTGGTAATTGTATAAACCTATACAAACTTTACATGTTTTAATTTATAAGTAGTCCAAGGCTTTGCACTTGTAATTGCCAGAAGTGAACAATTGTTATATAGGAATTAAATGTGTCAACAGTGCATGATAGGCTTTTTTTTTTAAAATAAGGGCTGTACTTTGTGTTCATTAAATTTCTTCTTCAAACTTGCAACTTTCTATGGCCCACCCAAGTACAATATTTTTTTTAAAAAAAGTACTTGTGCAGGATAACTTCTCTGCTTTCCTCCCTTGGCCTTTGCCCCAAATGATTTAATATCCTTGATGATTTCAACCTTCATCTCAACTCATCATGCTGTCTTCCTATCCTCTCTATTGCTCCCTTTATGTAGAATCCCCAAACTACATGAATAGCTTACCCTCTGATCTTGACACGTGGTCTTGATGGCCCATCATATCAGTTACAGATTAGACCACTTTTAATCACCACCAATATCACTCACAACCCACTTCCCTTTCTACATCCCAATACAATTGCCATTTGTATCAGTCGCTAAGATAAAAAGCTATTCCCTCTGTTAGTTTATAACAGCACTTTTAAAATTCTACCTGTTTGATATCTTGGTTCATTCACCACAGCATTTCTGCAACTACTGACTGGTCAACCTCACCTACCTTTTTGATGCTTTGGTCCCCAATAAAACTATTACTCTGATTCTGGCTATGCCCCCCGTACAATCTTCAACACAGCATTCATGACCAGATCTAGTTGCATCACTTGAAAACTATTGCCCTGCACTCTGAAAATTCTCATCAATCAAGGTGATCCTATAACGTACAGATAATTCTCTGCTTTTCTGTATTACAACCTGTATTCCTAACCCCATCTCCGTTTCATCAGCTTTCACTTCTAACAGTAAATACAGCAAGCTCACGACTTGTCATGAAGATTGAGGCCATTTCTTTTTCTGCATCCCTTCCCCTAGCTGATTTGATCAAATTTCCTCTCTTGCAACTCCTGCCTTCGACCTGAACACTCATCTTTTTTTAATCCCTCTTTGCCGATAAGCCCTCAATGCACTCACCTAGCTAATGAGACCGACTTCCTGATGTCTGTGATGTTACCACTAAACTATTGATCACTTATTTATAGTATAATGAGATGATTATGCTAAACGTGTTGTAACTGTTGATGTTACTCCAATACGACCAAGGCAGAGTAAAGTAGAACAGATGAGACACAAGCTTGCAATGGAGCAGGGGTAAGACACTATCCTTGGGAGCTGTATTCAGTAACGTGTGTAAGCCTAAATAAACAATGCTACAGTACTGAAGAGAGTGAGAGAACCTTACTGTAGGATAACACCAGCTGGGGATGTTAGAGAGTAAGACTGGTGCCAGCCTAGCCAAAAGGGAGCTGTTTCAAAGAGTGTATGTGTAGAGACCTAATGCCTAGAAAACAAGATGGTACAGTGTGCTCATAAAATCATTATTCTTTTCAGTGTGCTTTAAAGCATCCATGTTCCTGAATGATGATGTTAGTTCCCTGTCTTTTTAGGTGTTTTCCCTCTCCCCTTTAATTCGACTCTCCTCTCAAAAAAAATGAACCCTTGACCACACGGCCCTTTCGCATTACCGTCTTATTTCCAACCTTCTTTCTTTAAAGTCAAAGAACGTAAAACACACAACAGTGCAGCAAGGAACAAGCCCTTCAGGCCTGAGCTGATATCTGTGCTGACCATGATGCCATTTGAAGTCCTTGAATATTTTGTCATGTCCCAAATCTGTGTCCGTTGTTCTCAACTCCATATTTGAATCCCTCTGATTAAATTTTGGTTGAAGTCTCAAGTGACTGACGAAAACAAGCTTTTCCTCCTCATTCTTCTCAATGTGCCCTATAGCCTTTGGCATATTTTTTTAAAAACCATTTCCATGTCACAGCACTGACACTGTGGCAGTAGGTGAGACTGTCTTGTTTTATTCAGCTGCAAAGTCTTCATTTTCATCTCTAACACCATTATCTTTAGTTCCACCAAGGATCTATCCTTGGCCACCTCCTATTTCTCATCCACATGCTGTTCCATGGTGACTTCATCTGAAAACACATTATTTGTCACATGTACCCTGGTGACTCCCAGTTCCACTTTGCTACCATTTCTCTCAACTCTTCTTTT